CTGACCTCAGGTGATCCACCCGCCTCAGCCTCCCAAAGTGCTGGGATTACAGGCAAGAGCAACGATGGCTGGACTGAAAATATTTTCATACAAAGATGTTGTAGCTTTATTTTCAACAGTAAGAAACAGCACTAAAAGAAGTAAAATTGTGGGCCGGGTGCTGTGACTCCTGGCACTTTGGGAGACCAAGGCAGGAATACAGCTTGAGCCCAGGAGTTTGAGACCAGCTTGACCAGCACGGTGAGACCCCCATCTCTAAAAAATATAAAAATAAAAAATAAATCAAATAAACTAGCTGGGCGTGATGGGCCCTGCCTGTGGTTCAGTTACTCGGGAGGCTGAGGATCCCTTAAGCCCAGGAAGTAAAGACTGCAGTGAGCTGTGATCCCACCACTGCACTCCAGCCTGGGCGACAGAGCGAGACCCTGTCTCAAAATAGATAAATAAAATACAGTTAAAAAATTTAAAAAGATAAGAAGAATTGTTAAATCAAATATGAAGTATAAATATTATACCTTAGATCTCATGTTTTCAGAGAATATAGTGTGACAAGGAACATGGTCACATTGTAAGGAAGGCTGAGGACATATCTATGTATCTACCCAAATACCGACTTCCAGTTTTATGAAGAAATACATATAAACAATGGACACCGAAAAAAGAGAGGAATGAAGGACACTAAAATACTAAGGGCAATTATCTCTGGGTGGCAGGATTATAAGCAATTTTAATGTCTTTCTTAAACCTTTTTACGTTTTCCATAGTTTCTATAATAAGCATACATTCTTTTCTTATCCCCCCCAACTGCATGATTTTCATAATCACAAAAAGATATGCAATACAACAGCAAATTAATCCTGAATCAAGGTTGTGGGGGAGGGAGAAATTTGATTTGAAAAGTCAGTCAAATTTGAGTTTCATCTTCTTCATGGTATTGAATTTAGAAACTGAATACCAGGTTTCATCAAACTGTAAAGCTGATAAATAACTAAATATGTTTTAAAATATTTTATAGTTGCAAAGTGCTTTCCAACAATTGACCTCCCTCCATCCCTCCCTCCCTCCTTTCTCCCTCTTTCTCTCTTTCTCTTTCTTTCTTCTTTCTCTCTTTCACAGAGTCTCAATTTTGGTTCACTGCAACCTCCACCTCCCAGGTTCAATCAATTCTCCTGCCTCAGCCTCCTGAGTAGCTGGGACTACAGGCACGCGCCACCACGCCCAGCTAATTTTTGTATTTTTAGTAGAGACGGGGTTTCACCTTGTTGGCCACGATGGTCTCCAGCTCTTGACCTCGTGATCCACGCGCCTCGGCCTCCCAAAGTGCTGGGATTATAGGTGTGAGCCACCATGCCTGCCCTTCTTTTTTTTTTTTTAGACTAAGTCTCGTTCTGTCACCCAGCCTGGAGGACACTGGTGTGATCTTGGCTCACTACAACGTGAGTAGCAGGGATTACAGGTGTGTGCCACCACACTAGGCTCATTTTTGTATTTTTAGTAGAGATGGTCTCAAATTCCTGGGCTCAAGTGATCCACATGCCTCGGCTTCCCAAAGTGCTGGGATTACAGGGGTGAGCCACCACACCTGGCCCCAACAATCTTTCAATGTTCTCTCCATACCAAAAGGTGGGAGCAAACAAAGAGTAAGGGAATTTTTTTTTTTTGGTTCTTGCCCAAATTCTATAGCTTCTAGGAGATTGTGCTTGCAGTTCTTTTCAAGGACCAAATTGAAACCTCTCTGAAGTTTATCGCTCTATTAGGACTTGAAGCCAACAACACTGGGGAGTATAATTGGGTTGAGAGATCGCCTAACATAATCAGCTGATACACATTTCCAAAAGGCTAAAATCCTGGGTCTTGAGATATTGCCAAGATTTAGAATTCTGTTAATGACTTGAGAACCATTGCATTTATCATTCAGCACCTTTAAAGTCAATAAGAAAAAAAGCTAAGTGCAGTATCAAATCAATTCACAAGAGTAGACTGATTTGAGACTATTAAAACAATGTATTATAGCACCACATGTTGGGTATGCAAAAATATTCAGGAAATAATTTAATGCTTATGATCCCTTATGAGGTACATATCAATATCACCTACATGTATACACAGGAAATTATGTGCTAGAGTGGCATTCTTTCTTCTTCTTCCTTCTTTTTTGAGGCAGAGTCTCACTGTCACCCAGGCAGGAGTGTAGTGGTGAGGAAGGACCCCCAAGCATCTAAGACCACCTACCCCTTAACCTCCACACTGCATTTCAATATAAGAAAAGGCTGGCCAACTGGCACCTCCTAAATTACCTTCCTATCGATAGCAGGTGTGGTATGGGGAATCTCTCCGAAGACATTGTTTAAGACATTGTTTTTACTTAAACAAGACCAAACCCCCACCCCACTCTTCCTCCATTGACGAAGACCCTTTCATAAGTGATTTCTAAAGCTGTAAACCCCAGACCCTTTCATATGTGATTTCTGAAACTGTAAACCCAAGACCCTTGCACTTGTAAGTTCTAATGCTGTAAACCTAAGATTCTTTCATGTGTAATATCTAGAGTGTAAGCCTATATAAAGGCAGAGCTTCTCTTTGTTAGGCGAGCTTGGCAGTTAGACAAATTGTTGCCTCGTTCCCGGGCCGTAATAAAACCTCTTCCTTCCTAGTTCGGTGTCCGATTCTCGAGGCCGATCCTGCTTCAGTGGTGTGATCATGCAGCCTCAACCTCCCGGGCTCAAGCGATCTTCCTGCCTCATTTTAAAATTTTTTGTAGAGACGAGGTCTCACCATATTGCTGCATCTGGTGTCGAACTCCTGGGCTCAAGTGATCTTCCCACCTTGGCCTCCCCAAAGTGCTGGGATTACAGGCATGAGCCATTGTGGCCCGCCAAGAGGAGCATTCTTCTATGAGGGGATTGTCACTCTAATCTAGAACAATTTTATGCTCAGCCTGTTGGGAAGCCTTCTTTCGCGTGATCTGTATAATCCTGTCTATCAAACCAAATCTGAGGCTCCCCAAGACATCAATGTCTCAACCTTAAATTCTATAATTTTATAAGAATTGAACTAAAGAAAGTATCAAAAACGTTATCATTTTCTAAAATTTTTACAGCCACATCAGAGAGCTCAGGATTACTTTTTCAAAATCTTTATAAGAAAATAATAGGAGTTACTCAAGTATTAATAGTTCAGGTACCTTTTGAGAAACTTGGCAACGCATTTGTTTAAACCTTACACTTGAACTCTACATTTTTTTTTCCAAGCCGAACAAGCGTATATTTGTTCTCCCTGGAGTGTCTCATAATACCTCCATTATCCTTGCTTATCTCTCCAAAGTTATCTATTAAATCACATGCTGCATCCCCACTCCAAGCTTTTCTTCCTGACATGGAGGCATTTTCTCAAGTTAATTTTTGAGGCTGGTACAACTTTGCAGAAACTCCAATCGGCCCCGGTTGTAAACTTCACATCAGATACTACTTAAAATGAAGCCATCAGTCTGCCAGAAAAACTATTATTCATGCCCTCTACAGATTCCCCATTAGCTTCCTGTGTCCCTGCCAAGTGTAATTGAGTTGAATGGGAATTTAGCATATGTGAACCACACACGCTGAACAAACTCTTCAAAACAGCTATTACTGTTCTGATCAAGAGTTAACTTTGTTAGGGAAACATAAGCGGCAAAACCATGTATTTGCTCTTTTGTACTCAGCATTGGTCAGGGGGCAGTGGAGAATCAGCCTCTTGGCCTGAACTAAAAAACAGTTTCATTCACATACACAGGAAGGATGAATACTGCTGCCCAATTTCGGTAATTCTATCCAGACATGCCAGTGAGCTCCCAGAAGCTGAAAAGATGCTCAGATAATTTAATGCAAGTGCCCCCAAGCCTTTGAAAAAAGAGCCTACATTTTTATTTGAGAGGTAGAACTTACAGAACAAATCAAAGCTTAGCATGTAAAAAAGAGAAAATGTGAAAATTAAGATACATGGTACAGAAAACAAATGCTCAAAA